TCACTTTCTAAGGAGAATCTCATACAACAACAGTGTTGGAGAGACAGTATCTTTTGACCACAATCAAAAATTAACTGCAGGATTTGAGATTACAAACTGGGTTACTTTCCAAAATCAGTCATTTTTTCGAGTCAAAGTTGGAAGGCTGGATCCTTGGGCTCCCCTACATAGAGAGATAACAATTCAGAATGAAAGCATTGTGTGGCACAGAAAATTTAACCAGGTGAGATTGTATGAGGACAGCTACACTGGACCATTAGTAGCAAAACATCAGAAGGTGTCTGGTAATCCCTTTTCAGACTAACAAATATTATTAAAAGCATAAGTTTTCATGAACTACAGCTCCCTTCATAAGATTCATGGAGTGGCTAATTTGATGAGGTAGGCTGAAAAAAAAAGAAGGGAACCAAAATGGTTATTAGACACAGACTACATCTGAGACAGATTACAAGCATCTACTCAAGAGTTGCAATCTATTAAACACCTGTTGTGTTTGTTAAGATGTTTAACTGCAAATATTTAAATTCATATACATGGAATAGATTGTGTACAGATGCATGGTCTTCAGTAGAACCCCATACCTTTTTAATTACATCATTCCTTAAATTTACCATGGATTTTTAGGAAATTCCTCTAAGAGGAATATTGAAGGAAAAGATACACTCATCTCAGGGATTTAAATTATTAAGGCCTTTTTATAAAGATAAGGTTAAAAACAATACTGAGATCTAACAGACCATATGTTGCTTCAAGATTACTGGGTCCTGCATATCAAAAGTGGGTTGAGATATATGAGAATTGTTCTTTGAATAAAGCAAAAAGAGTTACTGAAGAAATAATAAGATGGGATTTTACCATCAGAGTTATGTAAGATGCATAGCGTTGCTTTCTTTTCTAACTTATTCTGAACAAAAATTGACTTTAGGAAAAAAAGATTTGAATTTGGTCCACCTCTCTTGTATGTTTACACAGATACTGCTTGTTGCTATATAGAGTTGGTATGTACCTAGACAAGCCCACATCCCTTACCACACAGAAGAGTTCTTTACCTAAATATCTCATTAGTAGTGATGAATTATTTGAATCTTTATTAGGATCAGGATGTCACACACATACACTCATACACTCATTAAAAAAAAAAAAAAAAACAGACCTATGAGACAATCTGCTCTAAGCAGAACTTTTAAACTTCTTGCAAGCAAAAATGCCAATGGTGATTTTAGAAAATAACACTTTTCGAAATTCCTGATGTTTCTATAGGTTGTGCCTATTTCTCTTTGTAATGACAATTGCTCTCCTGGCTATCACAAGAAAAAGAAAGAAGGGCTTCCGTTTTGTTGTTATGATTGTATTCCATGTCCAGCAGGGAAGATTTCAAGTCAGAAAGGTAGGATTCAGGCATATTGTAACAATCCAGAATTAAGGATTATACCTTTCAGATAATAATCGACTTTTTGCTTACAATGTTAAATACTCTGAATATATGCCATTTTCAATGAAGCATGACCAAAAGCAAAGCAAGCCAGGTCATAATTTTTTTATTCGCAAACAATAATAGTCATTCTAGTTAGCCTCAACAGTTTTCCTCCAAGGCATCCTGAACTCTCGTTAGTGTTTCAGCTTTCACATCCAACTATATCAATAAATCCTCCAGTATCAACCAAGAGAAGAATCATACATATTGAATAAACTGCTCAATATTGTTTAACTGGCTATCGTTTTGGACAAGTGGGATATTTAAGCACTGAAGAAAGAATTAAGAGGTTTACTTTACCCCTTCTTCCTTACCAAAGGGAAAAGCTGTCAAATTTTGGAACAGCTCAAGGTATCTATCTTGAGTCTTATTTTACCACAAATATGGGGATAGTCATGCTGACGAAGAGAAGCAATTTTGCCATCATCTTGTTCAGGCCAGATCTGAACAAAAAAGAACTTTTCAGAGGAAAAAAATAAAGGATAACACCCAGGTCATCTTTTTTTTCATTGCTCTGCCATCTTTTAGCAAAGGTGTCAGTACAATTTTGTCCACCTTTCCTTTTCAGGTGATGAGAATTTATTATGGGATGGGATGGGATGGGTTGCGTTGGTTGCGTTGGGTTGGGATGCGTTGGGTTGCGTTGGGTTGCGTTGGGTTGCATTGGGTTGGGATCAGAAGGGATGGGAATGGGAATGGGAATGGGAATGGGAATGGGAAAGGGAATGGGAATGGGAATGGGAACAGAGGGGCATGCTCCAGGTACTGTCAACCAAGGAACATTGCCTGGTGGTGTCCACATGGAGAGCCTTTTCTGCCCTAGTGCCCATAAAGGGTTTCCAGTCTTTTATAAAAGTAACTGTAGTTCTCTTCTTAATGAAACAAGTCAATTTAGCCATTTCTGCACTCAGCCATCTTCACGATCCATTCCTCCATTATGGGTATTTGTGAGGGCTCCCATTTTGATGTAGTTCTTCTCTACCCCATTTAAGGATATGCTGAAGCAATCTGAGAGTTTGGAGTCAGAGGATCTCTTTTCAACTGAACAATCACTGACATACCACTGGAATGTTCCCGGCTAATTACAGCAGTGCCGTGGAGAACCAACAGCAATAAACTTTCCCATCATCACTTGAGAATACTTCTCAGGTCTATGTATTCTATGGTCCCTGAGACACCCTTCCACTGAGAGGCTATTGAATAAAATTCAAGTAAAAAACTGAGACAGAATGAAAAAGACTTCTACTCTGTATAGCACAAGTAATTCTTCAATTACTCTGGTGCAGTTGAATTACACCGGAGAAAAACATGATGTTTCTCTGACTCACACATGGGGAAAGCTCACGATATTCTCAGATGTTTTTCTGTCTACAAACCCACAGCAGTGTCAGCAAAAAGTTACCTAATATATTGCCTTGCAATTATCGGCATGTAATTTTCCTACCTACCACACCCAAGGAATTTCTAAATACCCAGAAGGAAGAAAAACTATTTCAGGCAATGATTATATAAAACCTTTCTTTAATGCTCAGATGTAGTCCAAAACAGCCATCATCAGCCAAGATTATGGGGGGTTTGCTTTAATAACTACTACATTCTGATGAATTGCTACCCTGTAATTTTGACGTAAGGCAATAGAACGTGAGCAGGTTGGGAAAAAATGATACGTGCAAACTGAAGGCAGTTGAAAGGGAAAGTGGAATGTGTGCCTGGAATGATGGATTTGTCCTTAAAATGCTACTGTTATTGATGCTGCTGCTTGGACTTCTGCCTCATAGTGTCAGTAAGAAACTGTCTGTTCCTCCTGATCTAAAGATTCATTCTAGGAAATGCAGAGTAAGTGATTTATTCCTCAAAACACAGGAGAAGTTTCAGCAGGGACAACTTACCATTGGACAAATAACTTCACTGAGCTCCCTTCTCCGCTTCAATACAAATTTCAGTGCACTTCCTTCAACCCATTTGATTCAGGAAAATATGTAAGGAATTTTCTTTTCTTTTTTTTTTTTCACATGACATTGATCTGCTTAGATTAATGATGGGCAAAGTGGGAACTATAGAAAGTGGCCACCCAATAGCTCCCCAGAATAGGCAAGTCCCCAAACTCAGCTCTTTTGTACTTTTTGAAAGAAGGGAGTTAAATGACCAAACAAGTGCTTTTAAGGCTTGCTGAGACTTCAGACACCTATTTTACCCCTTAGAAACATTATTTCCAAACAGTCAAGCAATCTGGTCTGGCCCAATGTACTTGTGACATGATGAACAAAGTCTAGCGCAAGCTGATTTGGGGGGGGGGGCGTGCCTTGGAGTCAGCACAGCGCCCTGCCGTTTCCTTGGCAAGATTTTTTCAGAAGTGATTTGCCCCTGTCTTCTTCTTCCTAGGGCTAAGAGGGAGTGACCAGCCCAAGGTCATCCAGTTGGCTTCATGCCTAAGATGGGTCTAGAACTCACAGTCTTCCAGTTTCTACCTGATGCCTTGACCGCTACACCAAAATGGCTATCAGTACAAGCTGATACTGCTAGGTTAACTGATAAATGCCAGGAAGATACAATCTGATAACAATAACACTATTGATGAGAGCTTTATCTTCTATTGAATGTGAAAAGTAACACTTTGCATTTGATTCTAAAGTCATTTATTTTCCTGTGCTGTATTACATAGAACTTCAGTCATGTATTGTTCCACCAACATATGTTCTCTCATGTAAAGCTCCAGAAGTGATTTTGTTTAAATAAATAAATATAGCAAAAAGAGCTGCCTCATAAATGAAAAGACTGCCTTGCAAGACTGCAGCAGGATCAGAAGACAAATAGTTACATGTCTTCACTATTTCTTCAGTTTTCTACGAGGTATATGCTTCCCCCACTGGTTGGATTCCATCAGCTTGTTCCCAGGAAACCATTAAGATATGTGCATGTCCTGCCATGACTTAAAAATCCCCACTCAACCGCTGGGGTTTTGCATACCGATTCCTCCTAGTTCCCCTACTATGGATATTCTGATTAATATACACATAAATAATTTATACCTCCTTGGTGTTGTTTCACTTTTCAGCATTAAAAACCTGTCTGCCTACAAATTTTAATTGAATTGTAAGATTGCTGTTAAAGCTACCCTGATCATCCTTCCCTACCTTTAACTCTGCTGCAATTTCTACCTACCCCATATTATTTCTCCTCCATTTTTTCCAAACTATCTTATCATCAAAATTGCCATTTATGCAATTATGTATTTTGCATGATCTAATCTTCACTGTCTTGCCAAAATCTGCAATCATAGATGATCGGAAGGGAACAAAATAGGATTGAAACAAATGTGTGAATAAATTCATTCCATACATTCGGGTTATATTTAATGGCAACTGATAATTAAAAAATATATATTTGCATATTTCTGTACAAGTTGTTGTTCTTTTATACAGAAGGTAACATTTCTTGCAGCCTAGTACCAAGCCATTACCAGCAAATTCTGGCCTTCATCTTTGCAATAAAGGAGGTCAATAAAAATCCTAACATCTTACCAAATATGACTTTGGGGTTCCATATTGTCAACACATTCTGCAGTATTCAGATGGTTTATCAGACTGCATTGGATCTTCTTTCTGCACAAAAAGGACATGCTCCCAATTACAAACGTGTTATCCAGAACAATTTGATTGCTGTCATTGGTGGAATGTTCTCTCTGAGCACTGACAACCTGGCTACCATTATCAACCCATACAAGATTCCACAGGTTGGTATGTTAAGACATAGACATTCAATTCTGTATCATTTCAGCAAAGTTAAAAGTAGGATACTTAAGATAGATATTTAAAGGTCAATTGAAATTTCTTTAATTGCAGTTTGGCTTCCAAAATCACTGAATATGATACACATGGTTCTACAAAAGAGGAAAGGGATATATGAAACATGTCAAATTTTTCATAGAAAGGCTGCTGGGCAAAGGGATTGAATTTTACCTTATTATTCAATGCAGATGTACAACATGTATATCTTATACCTTATCCATAACATACTTATTTGTTTCTGCAGTTCCCTTATGGCTCCCTTGACCCAAACCTAAATGAGAAAAGGCTATTTCCTTACTTATATCAGATGGTCCCCAGGGAAATCCTGGAGTATTCTGGGATCGTCCGATTGTTTCTTCATTTCAGGTGGACATGGATTGGGCTGATTACGTGGGATTACATGCCTGGGGAAAGATTTTTGCAATTAATACTGCCCATGCTTTTCCTCCATGGCATCTGTACACATTTTCTTGCAAAGATACCCTCGTGGACTTCTGCTGCTGAAATGTCAGCAAAATTTTATCATAAATTGGAGAAAATGTCAGTTCTCATCAAAAGCAAAGCCAATGTGCTTCTTTTCTATGGGGGTATTTTACCCATGTATGTTTTGTATTGGTATCTTTATACAACACCCCTGCATTCATCTCTAGGCAAGGTGTGGATTGTGACCACATACTGGGCTTTCAAAAGAACCACAGACCAGAAGGACTGGGATATACAACTCTTCCAAGGTGCCCTCTCCCTGTCAATTCACTCAAATGAACCTGCAGGATTCAGGGCATTTCTTCACAGTGTCAATTCTTTGTGGGCAAAAGAAGATCCTTTTCTCCACAGTTTCTGGGAAAAGGTCTTCAAGTGCTCTCTGAACTGCCTTCATGGAAGAGATGAGCTCCAGCCAGTCTGTACGGGAGAGGAGAATCTGGAGAGTCTTCCAGGGACTTTCTTTGAAACGAGCATGACTGGCCACAGCTATGCTATCTACAATGCTGTCCATGCTGTGGCACATGCTCTACATGATCTTCTTCAGTCTGGATCCAAGAATAGATTACCGTGGATGGGAAGGAAGCTGACTCCCCAGAATCTCCAACCATGGGAGGTAATTTCAGTTTCAACATGGTTCTCTGCTCTTATGCAAGGCTAGAATACAGAGCTTTCCATCACTCAGAAAAGTTTTAGGCTTGGTGTTTATAGTACTTCAGTAACAAAAAATAAATACATAAATCAAACCTTGAAAGATGTCACTTCCTCCTCTTGTTTCTTTTCGTGCCATACGATATTGGTCAGCACTGAGTTGCATGACTTCTCTAATTTTGTTTGTTTTATGCAGAGCACAAAAATAGTGCCTTTATATCAGTGCTTCCTTAAAGTTTGCTGCTTCAGTCATTTTTACATGATAGCACTGGTATGCTTCTCAGCTGCTACCTTTTTCCAGTGTTCATATCTGTCTTTCATATTTTCTGCTTCATATTGTTGTGCTACGTTAGTCTGCTCTATACTATGATTATTATTTGTTATAAACCACATTTTAGAGATCTTTCCCACCCTCTATTAAAAGTGGGATGTTAGACTGAAAATCAAAAGCCTATCTCACTAAAACTTTCTTTTTTTTTAATAAGAACTTTATTATATTGAATTTCAAAGTACAATTAAAATACAAAACAGAAAATACAGCAAAGAGAAAAGATAGAGGTAAAAGAAAAAAGACAAAAACTATAATAGTGAAGATAGATAGAAAACTGAAAATGACTTCCGACTATCTCTGATACAGATATAAATACAATTTTTTTAAAAAAATTAATCTCTTACCACTAATTAATCCAAATTCACATTTTTTCTATCAGCACAAACCATCTAATCATTAAAACCCACAGTCAAAGCCTCATTTTTTTCCCCACACAAGCACGTAATCTAAGAAGTGTTGCCATAAGGAGATAAATTTAGAAACAGTATTATCTCTTC